TTTTTGGACACTACATCAATCTTCAAAACATTATATAAATATTGATGTATAACTCCCGTTTGGTACCCATTTTTTTCAAAATGCATTTTTCTCTTTTCCTTTCAACCACACATTCTTTATTAAAATAATATCACACGTAAATAAATTTCTTTTCCTTATTTTTCGACCACACACTTCCCATCAAGATACTATTCTAAAATGCATTTTTACATAAAAATGGTTTTCAAACACCTCCATAATAAACATTCTTCTAAAATGTCACATTTCATTTTTAAGTTGTTAAAAGCAGCGACGTTTTTAGTGTCTTCGATCTGATTAGATTTTATATCATTGGAGACATGTAAGTCTGTTCTAACGGTCCTATGAAAACCAAAAAAAGATGATCATAAATTACAAAAATAAGTGAAAAAACAAAACAAAAGTTAGTTCTAAATTTTGTTTCCTTGACAATTTTAAGAAACAGAAACCGGAATTCCATTGACAGTAACCTTAATTTATTTATAAAAAAAAAAAAAAAATTTGAGAAGAAGAGATAGTAAAGAGTGAGGAGACGGGTAGAGTGGGAAAGCAAGTATGAAAACGAAAATGGAGAATAATACGTACTCGAGAATTCATAATAGAGAGCTTTCACATAATTTTTCTCAATTATTTCCTTTCTTTGGTTTAAAAATCTCATTGCAAAGTACCAATTCAAAGAAAAACTTTCACCTTCAAAGTTCTCAATTTTTGTAACTATTATATATTATGTATTGAATTTATCGAGGTACAATTTTTACCATTCATTTCATAAAAATTAATCAACCTTGTAAAAAAGGGAAAGTTGTATCAGCGATCCCTAACATTTTCATTTTTTCCAAATTTTATCCTAACCTTTATTTTGTGTCAGCGATGTTCCTAACATTTCATAAATATGCACATGAAATCCATATGAACTGAAACCGTCCAAAATACAATCAGTTGATAGAGAAAATTAAGAAATCAATATCCAATAAAACTATTCAAAATACCGTCCAAAAAAGTATCAATATCCAATAAAACCATCGCGGTCGTAGATAGTTCAAGGAATTTTCTTCGTCAACCGACGATGTTTTGGAGGGTTTTCGTTCAGACGGACCTCAGGTGCATATTTAGAAAAGATTATGGACATTCGTTGGCACAAAATGAAAATTAGGGTAAAGTCTATAAAAAATGAAAAGATTAGGGTCCGTGCTACAAATTTTCTGTAAAAAAATTTGATAAACAATAAATTGCATGATAAATATGATTTTGATTGCTACATATTCTAGTTCAAAACTTGTAAACGTGCTATACTTTTTTTCACGTTTATTAGAAAAAAAAGTTTCAAATTCAAAAACATTATTCAAATCAATAAGTTTCAAATCATCATCATCATCATCATCATTATAATAATAATAATAATATCTTGGAGAGTAATATTTAATATAATTTTTGATGGGATTCATTGCATTCAAGTGCTTCTTTTCATCTCATATTTTTATATTAATGAAAATTTTCATTTAATTATATATTTATAAATAGATAAAGTAATTAATTAATTAAATGAATGTAATTATGTAGATATTTTATATAGTATAATGCTATAAGTACAAAATGAAGTTAGAAGATTGACTAAGGAAGTCGTTGACAAATAATTAAAAAACGTACGGACAATAGTGAAAATTAATTTTTTCTAGGATTTTTCGAGATAACCAATAGATTGTTTGGGTTTAGTATCTAATGATTGTATTTCTTTTTTATTGTTATGTTATATTGGGGTGTTTGAGATGTTTGAGAGCCATTTTTAAGTAAAAATGCATTTTAGAATAGTAAATTAATGAAAAATATGTTGTTAAAAATGATCCTGCTAAGTGTACAGATCCACCCTTTACAGACCTCTTATAGAGGTCTCACAATGAGGTGGGTCAACACATTTTGACCATTTTTTAATTCATGGAGTTCGGCGTGGGACCCACTTTCCATGTGAGTGATCTGTGAAACTTCTGTCAAAATCTCTTCTATACATATGGATTTATCCGGTTGACAAATAAGGAAACGTTTTTAATTTACGTGTAATATTATTTTAATAAAAAATGTGTGATTGAAAAGAAAAGAGAGAAAAATATATTTAAAAAAAAAGATACGAAACGGGACCCTAGTATAAATGTTAAGTGAGTATCGGTTAGTATATATTGGACATAGATAAAGATAAAGATAAATCATAGAAAAAAGAATTACCAAAAGAAAGAGAAAGGAATAACTACATAGCCCAACCACAGTTATCTTACAAAGCAAGAATATTCAAATTTTCATTCAATTCAATTAATTATTATTTATTATAAGTTATTGCAAAATAACTACATAACCCAACTAAGTACTCGATATTTAGGAGCATCTCCAAGAGATTGTCTTTTTAAAGACCATATTCTATCATTTGGAGAGTATCTATAAATTTAGAGAGTTAAAAATTTTAAAGTGCTCCAACAAGTTCTTTATATTTAACACTGAATTTTACTACTTCAAAAATATTTATTATTTTTCTCTATATTTTATTTTAACTACACTTTCTTTAGATTATTTTATAATTTTTCATTGACAATTAAAATACGATGAATACATTCAATTATAAATTAAAATGTTAATTTAAAGTTTATTTTGGACCATGATTTTAAGCTTTAACTCTTAGAGCATTTCTAATATACTCTTTAAACATAAATGCTCTATATTATAAAGAGTCAATACTTGAAATAATGCTTCAAGTGGCTATTTAAATGATCATTTTACGCTCCAAATTTGGAGTTACAAACTCACTCTTTTTAATTAAATGCATTAGAAATGTTTCAATTTTTCAATGTAGAAAAGTAATAAAATAATTTAGAGAAAAATAATAAATATTTTTTGAATCACTAAAATTAAATGTTAAATATAAAGAGTTTGTTTGAGTATGTCAAAAATTTAACGCTCTTAATTTATAAATATTCTCTAAATGATATAATATGCTTTTTAAAAATAGAGAATCTTTTAAAAATACTCATAAAATAGAGAGTATCTCATATTTAAAGAGTCTCTTGAATATGCTTTAACGATATGAGAAGACAAACAAATAAATACTTGTAAATGACTAAAGATAAAATTATAAGCAAAAAAAAAAAAAATAATCATCTATTGAAAAAGAAATAAAAGAGAACACAACAGTAAAATAAAGACTATAAAAAAAAGAAGTGTGAGACTGAGAAGAAATAATAAAAAAAAATCATCTAAAATAAATAAAAGAGAAGATGTGTGTGTGTGTGTGTGTGTATATATATATAATTTTATTTTATTTTATTTTATTTTTTCTATAACATAATGATTGGGCTAAAAGTCAGATTCTAAAAGCGAGAGTTATCAACACTAATTCAATTGGAAGAAATCCAAATAAGTACAACTTAAAATTTCAACTTTTACCAGTTCAATTAAAAAATTACCTTACACAGTTTACAGAAGAATTATTGTTGAAGATTTGAACTGCAGACAGATAAGGGGCAAAATGCTACACTAAATTTTTGGCACTCCATTCATCATAACAATTCTAGATATCATCCAATGTAATCACTTGCATCTCTCTGGCGTGCAAAATTTTCTAGAGTTATTGATCTTGAAACTATAATAGATTGACGACTAAATTGCAATTCTCCCAAATTCGAAAGCTTTCACAATTTTCACTTCTCCATAGATCGACAACTTCAAACACCTACTCTTCTCGTTCTCGTTCTCGTTCTCTTCGCTCTCATACTCATGGCTACTTCAATCTCAGGATTCTATTCCTTGAGGTTGAATGCCAAAAATCTCACTCACAAAACCCTTCAAACAACCTCTTCTAGGACCCCATTTCGATAGTTTACCAGAATCTGCCCGTTAGGTCTCCCCGATGACCATCTCAAGCACTAATCCCATCAATGATGTCATACCGGAGTCAATCAAGAAGCCCGGGCCCGAAAAGAATCATCGGGAGCTGTGGAAGAGATACGTCGACTGGGGTCACGTGGTGCATTGAGACCACATAGATTCTGTTTCCTTTTTCAAGTCAATCTCTTCATGGAATATAATTTGTGGATTATTATAATCTAATTTTGAAGATTAGAAATTATGCCATTTGAGCCCCATTTTTTTGGGAAGAATGAATTTTCGAATTGTGTATTAATGGAAAATGTGTAGTTAAAAATAAAGAAAAATTTAGGATTTGGATGTAATATTATTTCATTGAAAAATATGTGGTTGAAATGATGTCAAAACACTGTTGAAAAATGTATTTTTTCAAAAGAATGGAGCTCAAACAAGGGCTATAATTATTGATATTGCAAAAGAGAGGAGAGAGTACTGGAGAGAAACAGATACACATTTTTAAGATTCTTAGTTCGGAATTTGGGATTTCAAGGAAGAAAATTGAAATTCTAGAGCGCTCCATTGAAGAAGTTCAAGGAGATGAAAATTGATCTTGAAACTTTTTCTTGAAATTCATTATTTCGGGTGATGAATTATTAATTTATAATGTGTTTTTGTAATTTAAGGTTGTCAAGCTAAATCATTTATGTGTAGGATGATCATGTAAACCATTAGTTAAAGCTATAATTTAAATCTCTCTCTTCTATTCTCTATTTATGGTGGTGTCAAACCTAGTGAGCTCAATGGGATAAGCCCGTAACTCTAATGGCCTGCTTCACGAGCCTAGTGATGTAAATATCGGTCAAGGCTAGTTATACTAACCGGGCTCGACTCGAAAA